TGTTAGTCCAAGACCCAGCTGTTGGCAATGCCAGCGCTTTCTACCGTTTTAAGATGCTCTTTGTCTCCTTTGTTCAAAGTGTCACGTTCCTGCCATTCTTACCATATTCCAAACCCTGCAAGGCACAGAGGGACAAAGATAACAATGTAGTGTCTATACGCATGCTCACAGATTGAAGAATGGATGTAGAAGACAGAGATTAGATGTGTTTCAGACTAACCCAGGATGCAAGAACAGGTCACCAAAGCTAGAAGGCGCCATGAGACTGAAGAAAGAGGCAGACAAGTCTAGGATCCAGAATGTGATGTACAGGAGACTAATGGACTGAAGTGTGTGTTGGGCTGCTCTAACACAGAGCCTCCCTACCCCAGCAGGAGGAAAAGGATTTTATAGACAAAGGTAGCCTATGGCCAACCAGAATATACATGGATTTTCTCAAAAAAAATTAATATCCTAGGCAACAGATAGTATGGCAAACTGTCTTAACTTTGTCTCACAGCATTTGGGATGACTACCAGGGTCACCCAGAGACAAAATGGTGGTTATGATCAAGATGGCTGCACTCATGTCAAGCTGGAGCTGTACAAGGTCTGTGGAACATGACTAAGATTCAGCAAGGTAACTCCATGATGAGGAATGGACAAGGTGCAGAGCGGTGCACAGAGGAGAAGGTATAAGTTTCCTATCACTGCTGTAACAAACACAGATTTAGTGGCTTAAAAAAACATACATTGGGACAGGCATTGTGGTGTACTGCCACAACTCATACTGGAGTGCTGGTTCAAGTCCAGCTATTCCAACCACACTTCCAATCCAGTTTCTTGCTAATGCACCTGGCAGGCAGCAGATCATGGCCCTGGTTCTTGGGTTTCTGCCACCTATGTGGGAGACCCAGATGGAATTCCTTGCTCCTAGCTGGGACCTGGGCCAGCCCCAACAGTTGGGAGCATTTGGGGAATAAACCAGCAGATGGGAAGTCTTTCTCTCTCTGTCACTCTGAATTTAAATAAATAAATCTGGAGGGAGATACTGTGGCATATCGGGTCAAGGTATCGACTGTAGCACTGGCATCCCATATGGGCACTGGTTCGAGTCCTGGCTGCTCCACTTCTGATCCAGCTCCCTGCTAACGCACTTGGGAAAAGCAGCAAAAGATAGCCCAAGTACTTTGCCCTGGCACCCACATGGAAGACCCAGAAGAAACTCCTGGATCCTGGCTTTGGCCTGGCCAAGCCTCAGCCATTGTGGCCATTTGGGGAACAAGTAGATGGAAGACCTCTCTCTGTCTGTCTGCCTGTCTCTCTCTCTGTAACTCTTTCACATAAATAAAATCAATCTTTAAAAATAAACCTGCAAACACACGCACACACACACACACACACACACACTTGTCATTTTGCATTTCTGAAGGTCAGAAGTCCAAAATGGCTTGCAGAATTGTGTTTCTTCAGGAGGCTCTGGGGAGAATTGCTATAGATTCTCCTGCCTCCTCTTTTCCCTTACAAGGACCTTGCACAGACACTGAGCTCACCTGGATGACAGCAGGTGGTCTCCCCAACCTTCATTTAATCCCAAGTGCAGTTCCCTTTGTTCATAGGTTGTTGTGGTTTTTTTTGGTTTGTTTGTTTGTTTTTTATTTTTAACAGGCAGAGTGGACAGTGAGAGAGAGACAGAGAGAAAGGTCTTCCATTGCCATTGGTTCACCCTCCAGTGGCCGGCGCGGCCAGTGCACTGCGGCCGGTGCACCGCGCTGATCCGATGGCAGGAGCCAGGTGCTTCTCCTGGTCTCCCATGGGGTGCAGGGCCCAAGCACTTGGGCCATCCTCCACTGCACTCCCTGGCCTCAGCAGAGAGCTGGCCTGGAATAGGGGCAACCGGGACAGAATCCGGCGCCCCGACCGGGACTAGAACCCAGTGTGCCGGTGCCGCAAGGCGGAGGATTAGCCTAGTGAGCTGCGGCGCCGGCTTCCCTTTGTTCATGTAAACTAACATTCCTATGTTCTGGGGATAAGGATGACGATATCATTTGGGGACTTCATTCTGCCTACTGAAGACGAGGTGCTCATTCTCCTGAGAGGAACCAGAGAATTCTGCAGAGAGAAGCATCTTGGAGGCAAATCTCATGGGCTTAGTGATCACTCTCATTCACTAGGAGAGAAGCAGAGTGGACGACGCAGCACAAGCGAAGGGCTGGCTGGAACGTTGAGAGGAGAAGGGGAAGTGAGCCACAGTGAGCTGGGAGGACTGGAAGCGGCTCCACACAGCAGGGCAGCTGAAGACCAGGAAGAGGGTGACTCTCAGAGACTGGACTAGAGAAGAAAAGAAGTGGCCTGAGCATGACGGGCAGTGTGGGTTTGGGTTTGGTTTTCTACCACATTAAGGAGTCTGAAATTTATCCTATAGCTATTCTTTACTTGACCAATGCTATTATTTTAGCCTGTTCTATTTTTTTTTAAACTGATACACTTTTTTAAAATCTGAAAAGCAGAAAGAGAGAGAGAGAGAGATCTCCCATCTACTGGTTCACTCCCCAAATGCCTGTAACAGCCAGGTCTGGGCCAGACAGAAGCCAGGAGTCAGGAACTTAATCCAGGTCTCCTATGTGGGTGGCAGGAATCCAACTCCTGCTGCCTCCCAGGCACATTAGCAGATAGCTGGAACTGGGAGCAGAGTCAGAACTCCAATCCAGGCATTCCAGTGTGGGATATGGGCATCCCAAGGGGCATCTCAACTGCTATATCCAACACCCAACCCTAAGATGACTTATTTTTGTCCTAAACAATGTCTGGACAATGACAGGTTTCACAACGGGCATTAAAATGAATACTTGACTCTAAAAATAAAATGTCTTCCATGCACCACTAAACTCACTTGTGCAGGCTTGTGAATGAGGTCCTGACTTTGAGGAACAAAGCTACAGACAATGGAAGCCACATCAAGATTTCTAAACTAGAAAAGAACAGGATCAGATCTTCCATCAACAAGTTATCATTACCGCCAGAGTGAGTCCTGTGGCCTGGTGAGAACCAGTAAGACTCACAACAAAAGGATCATCAATTAGGGATCCATCTGCAAGAGGAGAGGCAAGAGATGAGGAAACAAACAAAGACAGGGACAGAGAGGAGGATCCGAATGTGAAACATATGGAGGAAGTGGAATTGACTGACAACAGGGACAGAGTGGAGAGAGAGAAGAGTTGGGGACAATGGCCAGGGTGCTAGCATGTGCAACAGTAGATAACTGTCCATGGGACAATAGAGTACATAGAGAGGGAGCAGACTGAGGGAGGGAGAGCTGGAAGGAAAAATGATGATTTTGGTCTAGAACACTTGGAAGTATTTGTGTGACATTCATGTCAGTACAGCTGTCCCTCGGTATCTGAGAGAGATGAAGCCTAGGACCCCTCAAGGATACTAAATCCACAGAAGCTCAAGTCACTAATGTAAAATGACATAATATTTGCATATAAGCTACGCAATTCTCCCACAGACCTTCAGTCATATCTAGATTATTTGTCATACCTAGTGTAATGTGAATAGGTATTGTATTGTTTGGGGAAGAATGACAAGAGGCAAAGTTTGCACATGTTCAGTACAGATGTAATTTTTTCCCAAGTATTTTCCATGTGCAATTGGTTGAAGCCAAAGAGGTAGAACTCACAGGAATGGAGTGAGAACTGTACTTGAGTGCACGTGTCTGGGGCTCTGGGGACTGGGAGCCCTGTAGAGCAGCAGTGTTCTAAGAAAGAGATTGTGAGCCACAGGCATTGTCTTAAATGCCCAGTAGGGACTGGAGCTATGGTGTAGCTGATAAAGCTGATAAAGCAGCCTCCTGCAGTGCCAGCATCCCACATGGGTGCTGGTTCAAGTCCCAGCTGCTCCACTTCCGATCCAGCTCTCTGCCTGGGGAAGCAGAAGATGGCCCACTGTACTGGACAGCACCATGCCAGAAGTCACAGGCAGCACGAGAAGTAGACAAACGCTGAGTGGAAGGTGAAAGACAGACCTAGTGGCTGTTGGTGTTTGGAGGTGTGTGAACGGGAGTGATGGGCAGTGGAAGAGGAGGCACCAAAAAAAGACTCAGAAGTGGCTAAAGAGCTGAGAAGAAGGCAAGAGCCAAAATCGAGCCCACAGAATTTTAAGAAGGACCTGAAGGATGAATGGCCTCAAAGGCTGGGGGAAGAGCGGGTGGCCTTAGGCCCGGAGAATCGGGCTCGGACTTAGCCCAAGTTCAAATCCTGGCTTCCCCACCTGCAGCTGGGCACTGCTGTAGAGCTGGCTACACTGCTGACACCTGGTCCACCTCTGATTTTACCCAAAGCTGTGGGGGACAGTTCCCAGACTGCTGATGGGACCCACTACACCCACTTGCCCACCTGATGCTTCAGAGCCAATCTCAGACCCTGAGGTGGAGTCTCCTCCAGGCCAGTGACAGGATGGACAGGGGAAACTCTTGATCAGCAAGGGGTGGGAGTCAGCCCCTCATCTGCCCATAGCTCTGTCTTAAGGGAGTGGGTCGTTGGTTTTTTTTTTTTTTTTTAATCACTGCTGTCACCAATCACTACAAACTTCTGGCTTGAAGTGTCCGAAAGTTTTGTGGATCAGAAGAGTGACATGGATTTCACAGGGCTAAGATTAATGTATTAGCAGGATGCAGTCCTTTCTGGAGACGCCAGAGGAAAATCAGTTTCCTTGCCTTTTCCATATCTAGAAGGCGCCTATTTTTCTTGGCACATAGCCCTGTCTCCATTCTGAGCTGGCAATGTCGGGCTGACTCCTTTTCCTGCTGCCATCTCTCTGGTTCTTTCTCTCTCTCTCTCCTATTTCTCCCTTCCACTTTTGAAGAGGCTTGTAGTTATCTTGGGGTACCCAGATAATCATACTATTTTATTTTATTTATTTGAGAGGCAGACTCACAGAAACAGAGGGAGGGAGAACACATGTGTCCCCATTTCTTCTTCTTTTTTTTTAAAGATTCATTTATTTTATTTGAAAGGCAGAGTTACAGAGGGAGAGATCTTCCATCTGCTGGTTTACTCCCCAAAAGGCCACAATGAACAAGGCAAGACCATACAGAAGCCAGGAGCCTCATCTGGATCTTCCGCGTGGGTGCAAGGGTCCAAGCACTTGGACTATCTTCTGCTGCTTTCCCAGGTGCATTAGCAGGGAGCTGGATCAGCAGTGGAGCAGCTGGGACTCAAACTGGCGCTCATACGGGATGCCAGTATCACAGGCGGCGACTTAAAGCACTACACCACAATGCCGGCCCATCCGTTTGTTCGTTTACTCCCCAGTTTCCAGAACAGCGAGGGCTGAGTAGAGGCAGAAGGCAGAGGCCTGAAATGCAGTCCGTGTCACCCACATGGGCAGTAACTTGAGCTATCACCCATGGCCTCCCAGGAGGTGCAAGAAATTGGAATTAGGAGCCAGAGGCAGGCACTGTTACATGGGATTTGGGCAACTTAACCAGTCTTAACTGCTAGGTCAAATGCCCACCCCTGCCCTATTTTATTTACTTTTTATTCTCATTATACTTGAAAGGGAGTGGGGGGGGGGGAGAAAGACAAATAAAGATGGAGACAGATAGATAGATGGACTAGTCTTTCACCCACTGATTCCTCCCCCAGATGCCTGCAACAGCCAGGGTTGGTCTGGGACCAAAGCCAGGAAGCTGGAACTCAATCTGAGTCTTTCAAGTGGGTGGTTGGGACACAACTAGTTGAGCCGGTACCTGTTGCCCCCTAGGGTACTCATTAGCAGGAAGCTGGAATCAGGAACAGAGCCAGCGCTTGAACCCAGGCATTCCAATATGAGGTGCAGGTGTCCCAAATGGCGCTTTAACCACTGTGCCAAATGCCAGCCCACCCACACCACAGCCCTATTTTAAATACAACTGATCAACAGGTTGAATTCCATCTACAACCTACATTTTCCCATTGTAACATGAGACAGTCACAGGTTCCAGTGTTTGGGATACAGACATCCCGGGGTGAGGAAGCTGGGACCCACGCAGGGGCCAGCGTGGGACAAAGGGCAGCTCTCATGAGACACGGAGTCTGGTGGCCAGAGGCATGGAGTGGCCAGGGTGGGAGAGTTACAGGTTTACTCAGAAGACAGCCTTTTCCTCCTCCTTAAGGAGAGACTGCCTTTAATGGCCGTGACGTGTGGAACAGCCTTTAGGGAGAAGAGATAGCAATACGCTCAAGGGGTTTGGAGCTGCATAGAAAATCCAGTTGGTACTGGAGCTTAGACATCCACAAGGGCCGTCTCAGGTTCTGAGTTCTCCCTGGTTCACGGAAGGGAGGGAGAACAGGATGTGTAGCAGGACCTAAGGCTGGACATCTGGAGGTGGACGTGGCCAAAGGCGACAGGGGGAAGGGGAGCAGGAGATGAGGCTGCAGAACTAGGCATGGCATTCAGGTGGGAGGAAAGGGATCACTTTGGAAGTGGGTGGCCTTTACAAAGTTCAAGTGCAGGTGTCAGCAAGAAAGGAGAAGATGTAGGATAGGAGACACGGTGTGGGCACGGAGGATTTCCAGGGCTGCGAACGTTCACAGTACAGCCACGAGAAAGGGCAGCTGACGTGCAGCGAAGGAAAGGTCGTTAGATCAGAGTGTCCGCTGCTTACCAGGTGTCAGTCACAACAATGCGCGTCCCCATCCCATGCCAAGAGGCCAGGGGCTGCTTGCAAATGGCCATGACTCCAACAGCATAAGGAAGCAATGGACGATGGGAGAGCTGGACAGCTTGAGCGCTGGACGAGAAAGGCAGGCAGACAGGAAACTCACATCAGCAAGACTGCTTTGGGACTAGCCGAATGCGAGGCGCAGGGGAACAGGCAGCCACTTGAGCCTCTGGGTTTCAGACGACGCAGAATTCTTAGAGCAGTGTTCCTCAAATCATCAGAACCACCCAGGGAGCCCACGTAAACAGATTCCCCACCACACGTACCTCGGACCTGCTGGATTCATTTCCAGTGGCCGCTGTGGAAAAGTACCACCAACTGGCTGGCTTAAAACGACAGACACATATCCCCTCCCAGCGCTGGACGCTGGAAGTTCAAGATCAAGGCATCAGTGGTGCTGCACTGCATTGAAGTCTCCAGGAAACAACCCTTCCCTGCCTCTTCTCAGCTTCTGTTTGCTGGTGGTCTTTGGTGGGCCCTGGCACCCGGCAGCCGCAGTGCTGCCGTCTCCATCTTGGTTTTCACATGGCTGTCTTCCCAGTGTCTGTCTCCGAACCTCTCTTTCATACACAGACACCAGCTACTTCATTTTAATTTCATTATATCCACAAAGACCTGGTGTTAGCTTTTTGTTATCACAACTAACACACCCGAGAGGAGGAAGGTTTATTTTGACCCATGGTTTTGGGGGTTTGCAGTCCAAGATCAGGTGGCTCTACGGTTCTGGCCTCTGTGGAGGGCAGTGGATGTGGAGGGAGAGTGACACGGTGGCGAGCCAGGAAGCAGAGACAGGGACCATGCTCATCCGTGTGGTCTCCCCTCCTGAAGCCATCCTGACTCAAGCACAAGGTTCTCCCTGTCTCCCAGTACAATCCAATCACTTCCCAAAGGCCCCAGCTTCCGACACAACTGGATCAAGTTGGATCCTTAATCCAGTAATATAAAATTCTGGGGATGAGGCCCTTAACACATGAACCTTTGGGGGACACTCACACTACTGCCCAAACCATAAAGGGTCCCATTTCCAAATGAGGCCACATACACAGGACAGATGCTAAGATTTCCACACAGGTTTTGGGGGGTGGGCAGACACAAGTTATACGTGCTAGAGGTAACCTTTCAAGGGTGGCTGATCTTTTCAATAGGTCTCAAGCAGCAATGGAACCCAGGAGAACCCTAACTCAGATTGAGCCATCAGAACCTGAGAACCAGGGCAGGTGGCTCCCTGGATTGGGGAGGATGCAGGCTGCCAGGTGACAGAGAGGAAACAGAGAGGCAAGCAGTACCTGTGGGAGGGGCTTGTGTGACAAAGGGATGAAGGGTCTGCTGGATGACCTGAGCCCAAGAGTGTATATGCTGGCTCCAGATCAGTCAATGCATCTGTGGGTTGGTCAACACGGTCTCCACCTGGGTGGTTTTGGAGGTCCAGTCAGGGCAACTGGGCAAGGAGGAGCTCCATCGAAGGGTCTCTGGGCGCCCCAGCCTTTTGATTTCATTCTGCAGAGCTTTGTCCAAGCTCTCCTCTACTTTTTCCCTGCAGCCTCTCTTCTTCGGGCTATCTCAATTCCCTTTTGCAACAACTCTCTGGCAAGCCAGGAATTGAACCTTTCCAAACACAAACTCAGCCCCTAAACGTGTTTCACTTTCCAGTAATTCTGGCATCGTCAGTGGCAGCTCTGTCCACTCAGTCCTCCCAAACTAGAAGTCTTGGAGCCAGGAAGGAATCTTTTTCTGCTGCTTCCTCTCCTTTGCAAAGCCCAGCAAATCCTCTGCTGCACTCCCCCTGCTTTCAGTAGGACTCCTCTTAATTAGGAATGGGTCCCTGTAGAAGTCAGAGCATCCTCCAATATTGTCACCAGCAAAGCAAGCAACTTACAAAAAAAAAAAAAAAAAAAATCTGGAGGCAGCATTGGCCTCTACTGCTTCCCCTTCCCCGCCCATCAAAATCTTTTTTTCCTATTATTAAATATTTTTTTTTGGGGGGGGGAGCGCTTAAGCTCTTCCTCCCTCCCTAACTCACATGGTCCAAAAGGCAAAATCAATTTCTGAAAGAGAAGATCGAAGGCCTGGCTCCTCTTTCCCTGACGTCCTGCAGTGTGGCTTGTCAACCGCAGGGCCACGCTGGTCTTAACGCATTGCAAGCTGATTGCGGGAGGGGGGGTGGTGAGGAGAAAGGACACAAAGGCAGGAGGCGCCTGGCATCAAGGTGGCATCCCTTTGCACCCGCATCTTGTTTCAAATCCAGGGTGGGAACTGGCAAATAGAAATTTTTTTTGAGAATAGGGCATCCGCAGAGCCTTCAAACCTGATGCGCCCCCATAATGCCTGGCTGGGTTACCCTTTTATGTAAAAGGTCCCTATGTCCATCCCCAAAGAATTTGGAAAATGCCAGCACATTCCAGAAAAGTTTGTCGATGTTCCTCCACACCAGTCAGTTGCCTGAAACATGCCGTCTGAAGGCATTTTTTGCGTTAGTTCCCTCAACAACTCAGGAGAAAGACGACACCCCGAGAAGTTCTCCCCGGCCCCAGCCTTGGTCAATTCAAGCACGTACGGCCCGGGGGCTGCCATGTTTACTCGGACACGTGAGGGACAAACAATGTAACGGGGAAAGCTGTGGATTTTTCTCGAGACTTCCTCCCAAGCCCAGGCAACGTTCGAGGAACTCCGCGCGACATTCGCGTAGTTCACGAAGGCGCCAAGGAACCCGCGGGCCACGCGGAACAATGGGAGGGCGAGGGCGTGGGAGTCCGCGTGGACCGAGCGTCCAGGGCTTTCTGGTTCGCCTCCTAGGCTCCGGACTGCAGGCCGTGCCCACAGGCATTGTCTCCCCGCGCGCTCCGACCGCGGCGCTCGCGGAGCAGGTACCGCGCATCCCGCGGCCGCAGCCCCGCCAGGTTGCGTGCGGGGGGCGGAAAAAACCTTCCCGGCGCTTCCGGCGGGTCGGGAAAAAGTCGGTGGCCCGGGCGCCAAAGGCTGCTGCCAGGGCCACTCGCAACTTTTGAAATCAATCCTTCTTTTTGCATCATGCAGCGGATGCCACCGCTCCTCGGGCTTGCAACCCCCCACCCCTACCTTTAGATCCCCTCCCGCCGGCTTCTCGACAGCACAGCGCCCCCGCCCCCGCCCCCTTCCCGGGCCGCACGCAGCCACCGAGCCGCTCCGGCCGCGGCCCGCCGCCTCTTAAAGGGAGGTAGCCGGCCTTAAAGGACCCTCGCGCGCCCCGCGGGCGGCAGCGCGGCGGCCCGCTCTCCCGCAGGGCCGCGCCGAGCCAGGCCGAGCCCCCGCGGCGCCCAGGCGCGGGCCCGGCCTCCCGCCGCCGCCGCGGCCGCCGGGAGCGGCATTTTTATTCAGGCGACGCTTAAGGGAGCCCGGCCGCGCCCGGTGCATTGTGGGAGCGGCCGCGGCCCGTTTTCGGGAGGAGGCGGAGGGCGCAAAGCGAGCCGGTAAGCGGCGGGCCTGGCGAGGGGGGGCGAGGCACCAGGCTTAAAGGGGAATATCGGTCCGCAGGCCCGCGGCGGCCGTTGCAAATCCCCCTCCGGGCCGCCCGGGACCGCCGGGGAGCCGCGCACCGCCGGCCCTTGCAGCCCTGCCTGGAGAGGGGGCAGAGCCACGGCTTGGTGGGGCCGCTTTAAAACAGAAGCACCGCCCGCGCCGCCGCCGCCGCTGCGGCTGCCGCCGCCGCCGCGGCCGCGCGGGGCCGGGGAAGGAGGGAGGGAGGGAGGGAGAGAGGGCGGGGAGGAGTGGAGGGGGAGGGCGGCGGCGGCCACGCAGGGGTTAATTTTTTCGCCCGCCGACATTTTTGTGTGGCGGCGGCGGCGGAGGCCTGCGCGCGCGCGCGCGGCGGGAGAACCCTCCCGGTGCCCCGGGAGCGGCGCGCGCGGCGCCTCCGGGCCCTCCCCGCCCCCACCTCCCCCTCCCCGTCCCGCGCGCCCCCCAGGTCCCCGCGGCGGCGGCGGGACCGAGGCGCCCCGGCGGGTGGGCCGCGCGCGCTTCCCGCGCGTCTTGGCCGCCGCCGCCGCCGCCGCGGGGTGGCCCGAGCGGGCACGGCATGGCCCGTCCCGTGGCGCCGCGCTGCCTCCGCCCGGCGGCCAGCCCGCGGCGCGGCACAAAGAGCGCGGCCCGGGCCCGCTGTGCCTTTAAAGGCGGCAGCCTGAGACTTAAGGTGTCCCCGAGTGCTGTCCTCCCCGTCGGGGCCCCCCGGCGAAGCGGGCTTCATGGAGCGGGCCGGGCCCCTGAGCCCACCCCGCCGCGCACTTCCGGGGCTCGGGGGCTTGGGGGTAGGTAGGTATGGGGCTGGGGCTGCCCGCTGCCGGCTGGGCTCGGCCGCCGCCCGGCGCGCGCTGGCTTAGGAGATGGGAGAGGTGCCCCGGACGGAAAGGGTTAAACCCAGCTTTAAATATTCATGTCATTGTTTTAAAGGTGTAAACAGGCGGCTTCCAGGTTCTTAGGGACCGGCTGTTGTGATGCTGATGTACCCGCTTCCAGGAATCCCAGTTTCCCATGGCACCCCCTCCCCCTCCCGCTTCCCTCCCAAAATGTCAGGATTTATTATTATTAATTTTAAGGTGAAGTCTTGGGTGATGTGTGTTTCTCGTGCTGTTTGGAATTTCTAGACTTCTTGAGCGCCTTCAGGATGATGTAAGGTGTTTAAAAACTTGTTTTTTTCTCTCCGTCTTCAAAGTCTGGGAAAATAGAAATTTAAAGCGAAGTTAGTCCTTAGGCTCCTCCTCACCTTTGGAGGGAAGGAGAAGGATTGGAAGTAGGAAAATCTCCTGTGAGTTGTTTTTTTTTTTTTTTTTCCTGGTAGGGGTGAGTGAGTGGCGGTGGATGGAGTCTGCTGGGTTTTGTTCCAGGGCTTTCCAAAGTGCTGTTAGGACTGTCAGATGGCTTCAGAATGCCCGTGTCTCCTGGGCAGATTGGTTTCTTGGAGTGGTGGTTGGAGGGTTTGCTCTTGGTACAGTTGTCGGTGTCCCACTGAAGTTGTTGCTCATCCGAAGCGTGTTTTGGTAAGGACAGTTTGGATCACTGCCCACACTAGGGCTTTGTGAGATTTGTTGTAAATGAGCGATGTGTTTCCCAGGGGATGGGAAACTCTATAAATGGGAATTATGTTCTTAATCATAAACTTTATAGGGGAAATTGACACTCAAACTTGCATGTCTGTAATTCTATGCCCAATAAAGTTAGCAATCTAGAGATCTGGGAGCACATATGCGGTTTTGTTTTTTTTGTTTTTGTTTTTGTTTTTGTTTTTGCTTTAGCCCCAAAGGCTTCCAACTTAGCAGGGCTTGTTTCAGATACTAACATGGTACCTAATGCCATAAACACTAGTAATTTAGTATGGTTTCTTTATTGTTTGTGTTCTTGCACTGAAGTGATGGTGAGCAGTGGCTTATTTTGTCAGTGATGTGTGTACTAGTTGGGCGGGATGTTTGCTTTCTAGGAAATAGCCCTGCCTTATAACTCAGAGAAGTCTCCCAGTGCTCTCTTAAACTTGAACGTGACTTTGTTAAACAGCCATTCTGTTCAAGTTGTGTGCTTTGGGGAGGCCTTACTGGTTCTGGATTGTACTGTATACTTGTCGTTTGGAAGGGACAGTATGCTTTTCTAGAGAATTAGGATTTAGCATTGTGAGGAATTTCATCAAGTGCATTTGCATGAATGTCCTTTTTCTGCCAAGTGCTTTTTGGGCTTTTTCTCTCTCTCTGCGAGAGAGCAAAAGATAGCAAAGGTTTTTCATGGAAAGGTGCATCAGCCAGGGTACTTTCTAAACCACGTGCTTGCAGGTTGACAGATGAAGTGATCTTATAACTTACATGAAGTTCGGGGTGGCGTCGTCGCGTGAGCCTGCAGGCACACACTTCCCAGTTTGGAGGCGGTCTTCCCTGCTGGCCCTGGTGGCCACAGTTACAAGCACTGTGCAGATGTCAGGTCTTTGCCCATAATTGTCCATGATGCTGGAGTCCCGTTCAGATGTGATTTCTCTGGCTTGCGCATCTCGGTGGTGAGCGGGGTATTGTGGTCCCACATGTTTCCCCTCTTTGTCCTGAGTCCCGATGATTTCATTTCTTGTCCTTGGCATCCATTCACTTGATTCAAGGCACACATGCTGGTCTGAGTTCTTTTAACATTGTCTTTGTGTTTTGGTGATACCTAGGTGGATCTGTAAGAAAGAACCCAGCCCACCAGGAGAGAGGGAGGGGAGGGGTTGAACTGTGAGGAGTGTGGGCCCAAGAACCATGTCTACGCGGGAGTCCTTTAACCCGGAAAGTTATGAGTTGGACAAGAGCTTCCGGCTAACGAGATTCACGGAACTGAAGGGCACAGGCTGCAAAGTGCCCCAAGATGTCCTTCAGAAGTTGCTGGAGTCCTTACAAGAGAACCACTTCCAAGAAGATGAGCAGTTTCTGGGAGCTGTGATGCCAAGACTTGGTACGTAAACCGTTGTGTCTTTGATAAAGTGCAGTCCGGTGCAGGAGTCAGAAACCAGACTTCTCCTGTGTTGCTTCCCCCCCCCCCCTTTTTTTTTCTGTCATAAGAATGCAAAGAGCAATGCAGTGGTAACTGGATTATGTCCTTATAACTTATTTGAAAGAAGTACTTGAAGAGCATCCAGGTCTTACCTAACTTTTAAAGCTGTGAGGTATGCGGCTGAGACAATTATGTTACAGTAAAAACATTATTTAAGCTTAAATCGAATTTTCTGGTTCGCTGAGGACTAGACTGAAACTCCTGCCTCTCCCTGAAATAATCCCTGCAGTTATTCTCTTGGAAAGCGATGCTTTCACATCTTGGGCGATACTTGGGTCAGGGAGGAGTAGTGCGGGCATGACTTGAAGAGCTGGGCTTGGGGCCTGCATGCAGGGCTGTTCTTTATAGAAAGGGAGAGGACTGGGTGACTGTTCCTGTCCCCAGCACGGAGCTGAGGGCAGAGTTTTTTCTTTACTGACTTCCTGATGTCATTAGTAGTAACTCTTTTCCCAAAGACAGAGCTCGGGGATTGAAGTCGGGCTCTTGGCCCACTGTTTATTAGTGTTATTGTGTAGTGCATTAAGTGCATGGGGCAAGCGTACTGTCACTTCGCCCTAGTGGAGCGTGTCCTGGGGAGTTGGGTCTTCTGTAGCTGCCGGGTGACTGGATCAGCTTTCTTACCATCAGGTTTTCATTTCATTTATTTTTGCCTTTTTTGTTGGAAAGCCCAGGTTACTTCTTTCTTCCTCCGTATGTAAAACAGATAAAAAGCAGAGCTTCTGTCTTCCAGATGAGGTCTAGGCTGTGGAGAAATACCACATGAAGGAGGGAGTTGGCTTCTGTGGCGGCTTCCTTGTCAGGAAATGAGCATATGCAGGTGCTCCTTGGTATCCTTGAGGCACAAATGCATACACGCACACACACACACACACACACACATACACCCCGGCCCGGGATACACACATACACACCCCGGCCTGGGATACACACACACACACACACACACACACACCCCGGCCTTCAGTACACACACACACACACATACACCCCGGCCCAGGATACACACACACACATATACCCCGGCCCGGGAGGTACACATACACACCCTGGCCCGGGATACATACACACACACATATACACCCCGGCCCGGGATACACACACACACACACACACACACACCCCGGCCTTCAATACACACACACACACACACTCCGGCCCGGGATACACACACACACACACACACATATACACATACACCCCAGCCCGGGATACACACACACACATACACACCCTGGCCTGGGATACACACACATACACACCCTGGCCCGGGATACACACACACCCCGGCCCAGGATACACACATACACACACACACACACACACCCCGGCCCAGGATACACACACACCACACACACACACACCCCGGCCCAGGATACACACATACCACACACATACACCCCGGCCTGGGATGTACACATACACACATACACACCCTGGCCTGGGATACACACACACACACCACACACACACACCCTGGCCCAGGATGCACACATACATGCACTGGCCTGGGGTGCACGCACGCATGCACACACATACACACACACACACATATACACGCCTGGCCTGGGATACCAGAATCTGAGGATGCCCAAATTCCCTATGAAAATAGCATAGTGTATTTGCATATAACCTACATATGTCTTCCTGTACGCTTAAAATCATCCCTAGATTACTTAAAATACCTAATGCTATGTAAGTAGGTGTTATACTGCTTTGCTTAGGGACTACTGAGAAGGAGAAAAATCTGTGCGTGTTTGGTACAGGCATAGCTTTTCTTCTGAATATGCCTGATGCTCCATTGTTTGAATCCTCAGATGAGAAACCTGAAGATGCAGAGGGTTGACTGTATGAAGGAAGCTCTTGGGTAACTCAAGGAGAAGGAGCTACTAATGGTCAAAAACCCATAACTTAAACCTGCTAAAGCAATGGTTCCTGTTTAGAACACCCCCTGTCGGTCTTGGGGAGCACTTGGGCCTGTTGCACACTCCTAAGCATCTTGAAGGGGTTTAGAAGTCAGGGTTTCCAGTGGCCTGGAGGCTCAAGAACGTACCCATTGCAGATGTGGTTGAACATGACCTGGAGCCACATCTTCAGCTTCCTCTGTGACTTGCCACCTACTTTGACCTTAGCTCCTCTCAGTGGCAAAGGGGACAGCCATGTGATAGCAAGAAAGGAGGTAGGGAGAAGCAGATAGAACACTAAACCCTTGAATAGTCCGGCCTCATCAGCTCTGGAGAAGTGAATCAAACCGATTTTCCCAGAACAATGAACAGTGCACATCGCCCCCCATTTGGCATTCCTGGCATTCCCAAGGCAGACAAACCCCAGGTGACAAGCAAAGCAAAGCATTGGGATGCAGAAGTGGTTATCTTGACCACTAAAACTTTGCCTTGGAAGCAGATTTGGATGCACACCCTGCCACTGTCACTTAATAGTCAAAAAGGTTAACTTTGTGCTGATTTTTTAGCCCTCCTGAGCCACGGTTTCCTAATCTGGGAAACAGGGTAGTAGGAGCCAGCTTGCATGGTGGCACAGGCATTCCATATCAGGGCTCTGCTTCTGACCCAGCTCCCTGCTAATGTACCTGAAAAAGCAGCAGAGGATGGCCCAAGTATTTGACACCTACCCATGTGGGAGACATGGGTGGAGTTCTGGGCTTGTGGCTTCAGTCTGTCCCAGCCCTGGCTGTTGTGGCTATCTGGCAAGTGAACCAAGGGATGGAAGATCTCACTCGCTCCCTCCCTCCCTCCCTCCCTCCCTCCCTCCCTCCTTCCTTCCCTCCTTCCCTCTTTCTCATTCTGCCTTTCCAATTAATTAATATTTTAATATTTTTTTAAAACCAGCATAATAGTACTTAGTATTTGGAATTGGTCTGACTACCAGAAATGTTTTATGTATGTGGACCATGTATATCTGTACCAACATATGTAATACATATATACCAGGGGTCTTCAAAAACTTCATGGAAAGCACATTACAAAAAACTGCATGGATTTAAAAAATTTTTTGTATCAAAATAAGCTATCTTTAAATTCCATTTTTCCCATGAACTTTTTGACATACCTTCCTGTGTGTGTGTGTGTGTGTGTGTGTATGCACACATGTATGAATGTTTATCTACTTTAAATCTTTTTTGGGTTCTAAGATGGAGTTAATTGAAGGGTGAGCCCATCTTTTGAAGTACACATGCTTGCTAGATGTATCCCAACTAAAGAAATGGTGGTATGTCTTAGAAACTGGTACAACTGTTGATTGGTACTTAAGAGCTTTCAAATATTGATGGCTGATGATGATGGTGATAAACTGTCTTGGGCTGTTTTTCTTTATTGATTTTATTTGAGAGACAGAGAGACTGACCTTCCATTTGCAGGTTCAATCCCTAAATTTAAGTCTGGGAGCCAGGAAGGAAATCCAGGTCTCCCATGTGGGTGCCAGGGACCCAACCACTTAAGCCATCACCTGCTGCCTCCCTGGGACTGCATCAGCAGAAAGTTGGAATCCGGTGTGGACCTGGGACTTGAGCCTGGGCTCCCTGATAATGTGATACAGGCTTCCTAAGCAGTGCCTTAACCACTGTGCCAAATGTGTACCCCAGGTTATTTTTTCTGGTTGGAGGGTTTAATTTCCTGTTGCCTACTGATAAATTAAACTGTTTGATGTGTATTTAAGACTTGCCCCACCTGTGGGATCTTCTTTCCTGCTTGCCTTCTATCTGGACTGTCCCTCTTTCTTTATTTTGAGACTCTGATGTTCAAGGCCCGTGGTCCATCTCAGGCTCAACCTCTCTCTCTTCCTTCCTTGAAACTTGAGTTTATTTCTAAACCAGTCACTATAACCAGTGCTGTCCAAAAAAATATGATGCAAGGCATGTGTAATGTTATATATTCTGGAAATCACATTTAAAATAAAAGAATCAGATGAAGTTAATCCTAATATAGTTTATTTAACCCAATATACAAAATTTTTTTTAGTACTTACAAGGGCACTTTTAAAAGTCTGAAAAAATGGACTTATTTATTTTGGTGCAAAAATTTTTGAAATCTATGCAAATAGTTTTTTCATAATATACATTTTCCATGAATTTTTTGAAGTTCCTTTTTGTAAGACATTATGAAATGTTGGCTTTTTTGGTACTAAGTATTCAAACCTGGTGTCTGTTTTATACTTACAGCACGTCTCAACTTGGAATAGCCACATTTCAAGAACTCAGTAACCCTCTGTGGCTAGTGGCTACCATGTTGGGTGACACCAGCCCCTCCCTCTAGTAGGTGGTGGTGTCACAGTTGTAAAGGAGAAAATGTGGAGAATAGCGGCTTTTCAGCCCAGGAAAATGCTTGAGACTCACCAATTATTTTGATGTAAGAACTTGCCAGGTATAGAAATAAAGTGTTTTACAAATCAAATATTTGATTCAAATTTAAGAAACATTTAGGGCCAACATTCAGCATCTGTGTGGGGTTTTTTTTGTTGTTCTGTTTTAAGGTAGTCCTATAGTTTAAATTGAAACTTGAAATAAAATGATACCAAAGTGAATAGTCATCTGCCCAGCGTAGCCAGCTGGAGTTGTCAAGTGGGAGACTCGGTGGGAGTTACATGTGGTTCTTGCCTGCTTTCATTTAGGAGCTGCAGAGCACTGCAGGTGGAACTTGTGGATGCGAGCAGCTGGCCTTTGAACTGAATTACTGCTCAGGTTCTTGTCTGACACAAATGAACACTGATCACTACCAAAGACTTCTGAGACTTGCTACTCTGAGATCAGATTCTCTGTTGCCAGCTGGATCTCTTGACAGTTTTGGATTTGCCATCTAGTTTAATTGAAACAAAAATGAAAACAAAAAACCACAAACTCGTCTTCACAGTCTATAGTGTTATTAAGCTTGGTTTTGTCTCTGCCTCAGTGGTAATGGACTAACACCCGGGCGGAGAAGAGGCGGAGAAGTGGCCTGTTGCCACCTTGGTGTGAGATGTTTGGTTCCTGGCAGTTTTGCTTGTGCAAAATACATAAGGTCGTTCTAGTGCGATTCCGACATGACTTATTCTTGTTTGATTTGGAATTCTAAATTTACAGGGTAGAATCCTCTTGTTCTTTTTGTACTTTCTCCTGCCTTTACTATTGCACAACCAAGTGGAAATACTTTGTTAAAGGGTGGAAGGGTGTCCTTGGGAGAGGCCATGGGGAGAGTTCTATCAGGCTTACGTGGTAGGAGCACCTTTGCAAATTTGTCTGCATTGCAGGTGATCTTTAAACAAATGTGGCCCACAGTAACTGCACTTATGACTTCAAAACTGATTTTATAAAAAAGAAACCCTAATTAGTCCATTGGTTGTCCATACCATCTAAATGCTCAAGCAGTTTTTAATAAATTGAAATGATTTTTGAGGCATGTTGAGAGCAATTTTCTTTTTAATAGACAGAAGGTAAGCTTCAGGCCAGTCCTTGTTCATACTATAAGTCAGTAAAGGTGGCATTTGTAAGCTTTTTACTAGGAAAATAATGTGGAGTTTTAAGATTTCCTCTTTAAAAATGCTTTTGAGAACCTATAAAACAATTAGATTACACAGATACCAGAGTGTTTATAAACGAAGGGTCTTCAGAAGGTCATGGAAAATGCATATTAAAGAAAAGCTGTACATTTCAAAACGTATACTAAAATGTACTTTTAATTTTTTTTAAAGATTTATTTGAAAGGCAGAGTTTTATATATATATAGAGAGAGAGGGAGAGAGGGAGTGAGAGATACAGAGAGATCTTCCATTTGCTGGTTCACTCCCCGAATGGCTGCAATAGCCCATGTTGGGCCAGGCCGAAGCCAGGAGCCAGGAGCTTCTCCCGGGTCACCCACATGGGTGCAGCAGCCCAAGGACTTGGGCCATCTTCCACGGCTTTCCCAGGCTTTAAACAGGGAGCTGGATCAGAAGTGAGGCAGCCGGATCTTGAACCTGTGCTCATACAGGATGCTGGTGTTGCAGGAGGTGGCTTAACCCCTAGTGCCACAATGCTGGCCCCTTAATTTAATTCCATTTTTAATAAACTGGGGTCCCTTGTTCATGCTTGATTGGAAATGATGAAATCTTGTTCTGGCTTTGCCCTTAATCAGCTTAATTTTTGATATGATAACATTTTCTATATGTAAAATATTTTTTTCTTTTTTTTAAAGATTTATTTATTTATTTGAAAGAGTTACACAGAGAGAAGAGAGGCAGAGAGAGAGACAGAGGTCCTCCATCCGATGGTTCACTCCTCAGATGACCGCAACAGCCGGAGCTGTGCCGATCTGAAGCCAGGAGCCAGGAGCTTCTCCCGGGTCTCCCACATGGGTGCAGGGGCCCAAGGACTTGGGCCATCTTCCCCTGCCTTCCCAGGCCACAGCAGAGAGCTGGACAGGAAGTGGAGCAGCTGGGTTTTGAACTGGCACTCATATGGGATGCCGGCACCTCAGGCCAGGGCGTTAACCCATTGCGCCACAGCGCCGGCCCCTATGTAAAATATTTTACAGATTTTCTGGTGAGAAAATGCAATAGTATCTAAAGATACACTCAAAGCTTTTAACCACATTAAAGCCTGTATATACTGTTGTCATATTTAAAGGAATTCCCTATGGTGCCAAGTGATACAAAATGCAGTAAAATAATACAATAAAAGACAATACAGCATAAGATAAAATTTTTATTCAGGGTATCGTTAGGTTTAAAAATCATCATATTGGGGCAGATGTTTGGCCTAATAGTTAGAACACCCACATCCCATATCAGAGTATCCTGGTTTGAAACCTGGCTCCAGCTCCTGACCCAGGCTTCTTGTTGATGCAAACTGTGGGAGGCAGCAGTAATGGCTCAGGTGGATGGGTTCCTGCCACCCGTGGGGGAGACCTTGATTGCATTGTTGATTCTTGCTTTGGCCTGGCCCAGTTCTGGCCTTTGCAGGCGTTTGGAGGTGGAGGCGCAGTGAGGGGAGGGGGGTGCATGAGCCAGTGGATGGGAATTCACTCTGTTTCTCTGCCTCTTAAATAAATTAATAAAACTTTTGTTAAGTTTGTAATAGTAAGGAGTATTTTCTATTGAAGTGACTCTTGATGACTAACATTTTAATTCCTGTTTTCTATCCTAAGCTAGTTATGTTTCACATTTATTTCAGTTATACTTCTTGATAGGAAACACATGGCTTCATTGGCAGTGTGCAGTTTCCATAAGTGTCTTGCACAGAGCTCTTCCTGTTCACAGCACTGCCAGTGTAAGGGAAAATGGCTCTCCTGGTCTGTTTCTGGATGCTGACGACTTGCGTCTTCACAGGCATTGGAATGGATACTTGTGTCATTCCTTTGAGGCATGGTGGGCTCTCCTTGGTTCAGACCACGGATTACATTTACCCTATCGTAGACGACCCTTACATGATGGTAAGTTTGACCTGATTGTTTTTTGTAACTGGAACTCTTAACTCGTTTGGTATTCTATTGTGGCTGGGCTTGTACCTGCGTCTCTGGGTTTTTTCGCATTATGCTACCCCAGCCCTGCCCTGATTCCTACAGCGGCAGCAGTTTGGCCTGTTCCCTGCTCATACTTGGCGCTGTGCGTGATGCAAGATAGAGGGGGGGCAGATCTTTCTTCTGCCCTCGTCCCTGAGTGTGTATGTGTGTGTGTCAGAACACCTGTTGGTTTAGTGGAGTGTCTCTTGACTGACTTTTTTATTGTTTCCTTCCTTCTTTCCTGTATCTTTCTTTCTTTGAAATTACTAAATTCATGCCAGAGATAGTGCTGCGCTGGGTAATAGGAGTGACCCTAAATGATGCCTCCCCAAAATAAAGCAGCTGAGCATCTGTCTCATTGCCGTTAAGTTTCTTGAACATGAATTTGGATATTGCACTTCCTTCTGCCCATCTACTCATACACCTGCTCACCTCTGTGTTGTATGCTGCTGCGTGAGATGTATTTGGCTACTGAATTAAAGTTCCTAGCTACTGATTGTGCTATGCTTTAGATACATTTCCTGATTTTTCATTGCATGGTTGTAGCTAGGAACCCTTTAATGTGCCCAACCTTTAACCCTACCTCTATACCAGCTAAGAGGGGTCAGTGAAGGCATTGAGAGTGTCCTTTTTGTTGTAAAATACCAGATGTCCTTCCTGTGTGGCAAGGACCCTGGGCTCAAGCTGCACACCTGAGAGCTTTGGGCATGAGGTGGCTAAATGGGGGGAGGTTCTACTCTGCTGCTGGTGACAGATAAACAGGTTATTACAAGCCTGGATGCCCTCTGTATGTCTGTCTGTTCTCTAGCTGTGCTCCCGGAGACCGGACAGGTAAGTCACCCTGCAGCTGTCCCATCAGACCAGGCGGCATGGGTGGCTAGAACCAAAAGAACAAAATTCATTCTTCTTTTCTAGCATCTCTTACAAGCATTTGTGAGAAAAAGCAGCCAGAACTGGACCGGGCGGTAAACGGCTGCCGTCCTGCGCTGCATTCCCACTTGCACACCGCCTGTTGGCCTTGGAGATGGGGCCTGGTGATGCTGAAAGTGGGGCCACAGGAAGCTACTGAGCTGTACTGCCAGTCTGCCAGGACCCTAGCAGTTGGACAACCACTGCTAATGATAATACTGCTTTGGACTTTGATTCTCCTTACTTTTCAGACAAAATGATGTTAGACAATGGCAACTTACATATAAAAAATTTCCCATGGCAATAAAAAATGTTTATTGTCACAATTCTGTTGAATACTATTTTAAAGTTCTTAATAAAATGATACAGTTTATTGGGAAATACTTCTCTTCTTCTTTAGAAAACAGTCTAACTTCAGCCCTGGATTTTTTTTTTTTTTTTTTTAATTTCTTCTGCTGCTGCTACTTTTTTTGTTGTTTGTTTTACTCTCAAGCAAGTTAATTTTCCTGTGTGTCTCTTACAGCCTCGAAAAAAGGCTACAAAACGTAAAGTATGTGTTTATAGACCAGATCCTCTGCAAGCAGTAGAGTCAACATTTTGTAGGCTCCGTGTAGCCTCAGCGGCTGGTCCCAGTTCCTGTAGGACAGCTGTTTGCAGATTTGCTCTGTCGCTTCCTTCCAGACCCTCCGTCCTCCCCATGCCTCTCTGCTGGGTGCTCTCTCCTCGCAGCTGCCTCCCCTGAACAAGTTTAGACCTCCTCATCCTCAGCATGGGGAAGCATGGAAACGTGTTGGGTGCTGCATAAGAAAGCAGAGGTGGTGACGGGAGTGCCGGAGGGCATGCGTGGTGGCCCTGGGGTGGAGCGGCAGTAACTGGCCAACACATGGCCCATCCCGCTACCCCAGCGGTCCTTGGCAGCTGCCCTGTGGGCTTAGACTGAACATCCCCAGTTGTCCTTTCTCACCTTTCCCCTCTCTTCCCAGGGCAGGATAGCATGTGCCAACGTCCTCAGTGACCTCTATGCCATGGGGGTCACAGAGTGTGACAACATGCTGATGCTCCTCGCAGTCAGCAATAAAATGACTGACAGGGTAAGTAGCAGGGCCCTCGGCCGCTCACTGGCTGGTGTTGGCGTGGGCACGTCCCTCGACTTGGGTACACTTGGTTTCCCATCTGGAGAGCGAGGAGCTCAGGCCATGTGGCTTCCAGTACTCCTGGTGGCTCGCCACTGTTTGATAATTACCAAAAAATTCAAATGAGAGTCTGGCCAATTCATCTTGTCATTCTTGCCACCAGCTCCTTTTACAGCTCTTAGGTAGACTGAGACCAAGACATTTATCTGTGCCTGTGTTAATAAAACTTAGGCCATGGTAAGAGTGCCTTAGTGCCAGTCTGTGAATTGGGCCTACCTTACAGACCCAGAACATAGGGCCCCGGAGGGCCAGGTACCCTTAGTGTCGCTGGCTGGGCTGTCACTGATGTAGACAGTCATGAGGACTGGGGCTGTCACATGTGTTCATGTGCTCACACTTCTGTGTCATCAACTGGCGGTGTCTGTGTCCCTGCTACCCTGCTCTACCTGTTCTTTGAATCAGAGCCCTGTTGCCATTTAGATTATTTTTGACAGGTGCTTAACTTTTGTCCAAAACATGCACAAGACAGTGACCTGCCTTGGAAAAATCTTAGTTTTCAGTGGGTTCCTTTCTGCCCTCGCCATGTGTGTTTTGATCCGTGGTTGTACGCGGTGGTCTCAGCGAGGGCTTGGCAGGTGTACGTTACCATCATAGCCCTCTGCCAGTCTGCACAGTCCTTGGTGAGCTGTAAGCCCACTCCAAGGCTGAGTGCCATGTGCACAGTAAGCTAGTCTTGGGGTTCAGAAGGACCATTAGGGCTGACTTTTAATGGTCATCGGACTTAAGGCCAGTCCGTCCTTGTGGACAGCTCACAGGATTTTCCTCTTTTCTGTTGTCTGGGTTTCATTTATGTTGTAACCTAGAACATCTTCCAGCTTTTGATAAACTGTGTAAAATATGGAGTATTCCCTAGCTTTTGTTTCATACACCCCGCCACCCTGTCTACAAACTTTCAGGACTTCCTTTAGGATTTTATAATTTTTTTATGACTAAAGTGTGGAACTGTATTTTCTGGGTTTTGAATAAAATTATTTGACTTTTCATTTATGTCCTTTTAAACCTTAGGAAAGGGATAAAGTGATGCCCCTAATTATACAGGGTTTCAAAGATGCAGCAGAGGAAGCAGGAACGTCAGTAACAGGTGGCCAAACAGTGTTAAACCCCTGGATCGTTTTGGGAGGAGTCGCTACAACTGTCTGCCAGCCCAATGAATTTATCATGTGAGTTGATTTTTGTTCCACGCTACCTGGCTGTTTCCCTCCCTTCTCCTCTCCCCCATCACCACACAGCGCACCGGTTTGTAGTGTCTGTTTTAGTAACCTTGGTGTATCTGCAGAGTTAGACGACCCCCACCAGCGTGGGTTTTAGAGCGTTTTCATCACCCCTGTGGGAAGCCCATCCCCTGAGCTGTCACTCCCCTACTCTTTCACTACCAGCCTGGCTTTGTGTTTAGTCTAATGTGTATACTTGTTTGAAATTCCATTTTATTGTTAAAAATGTTCGGTTTATTTGCCATGTCCATTTTTATGGGGTGCAGTGCAGTATTTCAGCATGGAAACATGGCATAAACCACTCAAGCCAGGCAGCCTGCCTTTCCATCTCCTTATCTCTATGTCTGGAGCCCACCGTCTCCTCTCTTCCGAGACATTACTGTGAATTACAGGCACCCCCTTGTGCCATGAAACAAGCTTCTGTTTGAACACTAGAACTTACCTCTGTCTCCTGCCCCACCTTCCCATCTTGTAGTTAAACTATTTTTTTTTCTTTTTTACTCCTCCACATGAGAGAGAACAAATGTTTTGTTGGTCTTTTGTGTCTGGCTTATTTCACTTAACATAATGATATCCAATTCCATCCGCTTTGCTGTGAAATGTCAGGATTTCGTTCTTTTTTGTGGTTGAATAATATTCCACTGTGTGCACACCACATTTTTTTATTCATTCCTTCATTGAAGGACATCCACATTGTTCCCATACGTTGGCTCATGTGAATAGGGCTGCAGTGAACACGGGAAGGCAGGTGTCTCTGTGGTATGCTGACTTTACTTCCTTTGGGTATACTCGCAGAAGTGGTATAGCTGGACTTTGGTAGCTTTATAGTTTTTAGAGGAACATTCATATTGTTTTCCATTAAAGTTGAGTTAATTTTCATTCCCATCAATAGTATGGAAGATGCTCTTTCTCCAATCCTTGCCAGCGAGCCTTTGGTATTTTTCTCTTTCATAATAGCTATTCTAACAGGGTGAGGTGATATCTCCTAGTGGTTTTGATCTGCATTTCCTTCGTGGCTAGTGATATTGAGCACTTTTTAATGTATTTTTTGGCCATTTGTTTTTCTTTTGAGAAATTCAGGTCCTTTACACATTTCTGAACTGGATTGCCTTTTTGCTGAGCTTTTGAGATTCTCAGTGTTTTGGATATTAACCCTTTGTCTGATGCATACTTTGCAAACATTTTCTCCTCTTCCGTAAGTCGTCTTCACTCTGTTTGCTGTGCAGAAGCTCCTTAATTTGATATAATCCCATTTGTCTTTGTTTCTGTTGCCTGTGCTTTTGTGATCTGATCCAGAAATGCATTCCCTAGCCAGGACTTGAAGTGTTTCCCCTGTTTATTTCTGGTAGAGTTGTAGTTTCAGGTCTTACATTTAAATCTTTGTTCCATTAGCCTAGCATTTTTAAGGCTCGTCCTTTTTGTGGAACATGTCAATTCTGTTCTTAAAAATTAATGAGATTTGGGGCCGGCACCATGGCTCACTTGGTTAATCCTCCGCCTGTGGCGCCGGCATCCCATATGGGTGCCGGTTCTAGTCTCAGCTGTTCCTCTTCCAGTCCAGCTCTCTGCTGTGGCCCAGGAGGGCAACGGAGGATGGCCCAAGTGGTTGGGCCCCCTGCACCCGCATGGGAGACCAAGAGGAAGCACCTGGCTCCTGGCTTCGAATCGGCACAGCGCCAGCTGTAGCAATCATTTGGGGAGTGAACCAACGGAAGGAAGACCTTTCTCTCTCTCTGTCTCACTGTCTATAACTCTACCTGTCAAATAAAAAAAAATTATTGATATTTTTTCTTGTTGAAATATAATTGACATAAAATTTCACCTAACATTTAATTCATTGTTTTTACTATTGGCCAGTCTGTGCCTATTTCACCACTATCAAATTTGAGAACGTGCACCCCCAAAAGAAGCCTTGGCTTCATTAATGGTCACTCTGCTCCCCTCCTCCTCCCCTGCCCATCCTCTGGCAACCACTGATCTTTTTGTCTCCAGGCATGTCTCTGTTCTGGGCATTTGTATCAGTGGAATCACGTGAGGTGTTACATTTTGTGTCTGGCCTCTTTCACTCAGGTAGCATGGTGTTCTCAGGCCTGAAAAGGAGTTTAGTGTGTTTCATCCATGTTGTAGCACTGATCTTCCTGCTTCCTCTTTTTCTGGCTCAGCACTCTGTTGTAGGAATGTGGACCTCAGAGTTGTTCCCGCCTATGATGGACGCTGCTGCCATGAGCACTCAGAGGCGGGTTTCTTAGGCATGGACTCAAGTTCTACTTCTCTTAGGTGTGCTGCTAAGCTAAGGATTGCTGGGTCGCACGCAAACTCCGTTTAACCTTGGGAACAGTTTAACTGATTTCAGAAGTGGCTTTCCCATTTCACACTTCCAGCTGCAGTTCCCACTTCACCCCAGTGCCTGCTTTATTCCTTGTCTGATTCGAGCCATCCTGCTGGCTGTGAGGTGGGACCACATCGCAGCTGTGATTTGTATGTCCCTGATGGCCAGTCATGTTGGCCATTTTATTGGTGTGTGTTTGGCCATTACTTTATCTTCTTTGGAAAAATATGTTTCAACACAGATTGTTACTTTCTGTGTGTTTTAAGGGAAACCAGCCTATTTTATTTTTTGAAGGAAACAGGAATTCCCTTTATTTTGTTCTGAATAGGTATTTTTAGAGGTGCTGTATTCATGGTTCAAATTCAAGTGGTCTGAAGGGTTCCACAGGGCTAAGGCCGCACCTGGGCCACCAAGTTCCCTCGCCTGCTGTTTGCCAGGCTCATGTATTTTTAATCATTCTACTGTTGACTTTTAGGTTACTTCCATTTAGTCTGACGTTAAAATAGTACCCCAGTGAATGACCGTGCATACATGAATCTCTTGAGAAAGTTCCCCAAACAGGATCACTAGGTCAGAACGGTGTGTGTCTTCTCTTTTTGCTGGTTGTTTCCAGTCTATGTTCCACCCACAGTGAGTGAGCATGCTGCTTTCCCTGTGTCCCAGCCACTACGGTGTGTTAGCAGGTTTCTTGCTCTGAGCTGATTTGTAAGTTTAACATTATTTTTCACATATTCATATCTTTTTCTCATTCTTTAGTTGATCAAAACTCCTTTTAAGGCCAGTATCTGACAGCTTTCCTCTTAAGGATCTTGCATTTAATTTATGTCAAAATTTTATTTTCCTGATTTTTATTTTATTTTTTTTTGACAGGCAGAGTGGACAGTGAGAGAGAGAGACAGAGAGAAAGGTCTTCTTTTTGTCGTTGGTTCACCCTCCAATGGCCGCTGCGGCTGGCGCGCTGCGGCCGGTGCACCGCGCTGATCCGATGGCAGGAGCCAGGTACTTATCCTGGTTTCCCATGGGGTGCAGAGCCCAAGGACTTGGGCCATCCTCCACTGCACTCCCTGGCCACAGCAGAGAGCTGGCCTGGAAGAGGGGCAATCGGGACAGAATCTGGCGCCCCGACCGGGACTAGAAGCTGGTATGCCTGCGCTGCAAGGCGGAGGATTAGCCTAGTGAGCCGCGGCGCCGGCCCATGATATTTATTTTATGTCATTAGTTATTCAGTTTTTCACTTAGATCTACCTCTGTTACCATTCCAGCTCTCTGGTAGAAAAAGGACTTAGTGATAGCAAAAAATTGGAGAGAGAAAAGTGATTTTTAAAAGGTTTTTATTTATTTAATCAATACAAATTTCATATGTACATCTTTTAGGAATATAGTGGTTCTTCCCCCAATTCCCACCTTCCCACCCCCCACTCCCATCCCACTTCCTACTCCCTCTTCCATTCCATTCTTAACTAAGATTGGTTTTAATTCACTTTATATACAGAAGACCAACTCTATAATACGAAGTAGAGAGGAAAATGATTTTAAAGATGATTCAGGGCCAGCGTTGTGGCACAGCAGGTTAAACTGTCAGCAGTGACAGCTGGCATCCCATACATCCCATATCACAGCACTGATTTGAGTCCTGACTGCTCTGCTGCCCATCAGCTCCCTGCTACTGAGTTTGGGAAGGCAGCAGAAGATGGCCTAAAGTACTTAAACTGCTGCCATCCCTGGGAATCTGGGAGAGGGCTCCTGGCTCCTGATTTTGGCTGACCCAAGATGTGGCTGTTGTAGCCATTTGGGGAGTTAAGCAGTGGATGGAAGATCTCTGTCTCTCCTCTATTATTCAGCCTTTCAAATAAAGGATTTTTTTTGTAAAGCTTCAGTGGATTTTTACCAACAGAGTATTTGTTTTCTTTGTAAAAGGTGAATGAGCCTATACACATGATTATCTTCTGCCAAATACTGTTGATAAACTTAAAAATAACCTACTGGTTTTATTAAACTTTACTACTTGTTGTGAATTCATAGGTTGCAAATAACCAGTGAAGTGCAAAACATACCAGCTTTAAGGTACCACTGAGTCAGAACTGAAAGATATTCATGGGACCAGTGCTGTGGCATAGTAGCTTAAGCCTCTGCCTGTGGGCTATATGGACACTGGTTTGTGTCTCGACTGCTCCTCTTCCAATCCAGCTCTTTCCTAATGGCATGCAGAAGCAGTAGAAGATGGCCCAAGTGCTTGGGTATCTGCACACCTGAGTGGGAGACCCAGAAGAAACTCCTGGCTTCAAATCAGTCTAACTCCAGCCATTGTGGCCATGTAGGGAGTGAACCAGTGGATAGAAGACTTTATCTGTCTTTCCCTCTCTCTGTCTGTAACTTTACCTCTCAAGTAAATAAATAAATAAATCTTTAAAAAAAATACATGGAGAGGGGCCAGCGCTGTAGCGCAGCAGGTTAATGCCCTGGCCGGAAGCACCGGCATCCCATATGGGCGCTGGATCTAGTCCTGGCTGCTCCTCTTCCAATCCAGCTCTCTGCTATGGCCTGGGAAAGCAGTAGAGGATGGCCTAAGTACTTGGGCCCCTGCATCCATGTGGGAGACCCAGAAGAAGCTCCTGGCTTTGGATCAGCGCAGCTCCGGCCGTTGTGGCTACCTGGGGAGTGAACCAGCGGATGGAAGACCTCTTTCTCTGTCTCTACCTCTCTCTGTAACTCTGCCTGTCAAATAAATAAAATAAATAAATCTTTAAAAAAAATGCATGAAGTTACAAATCCATAGCCTCAGTAACTTCATGCCTGTTGAGTCTTAGAAGAGCTCTTAAAAAAAAAAAAAAAAAGATATTCATGTGTTAAGATCTATTTTTGGAAATTAAGTGTCTTGTATGACATCTCAGAATTATATTTTTGAAAACTGAATGTGTAATATAAATATTACAGGTTGAAATAGGGAGCGAGGTGTTGGTTTTGGAGTATGGTTCTCAACTTAGATGAGCATTTAAAATACACTAGACATCTTTGAGGCTGTCTTGTCTTTGTAGGGCAGGCTTTTTTTTTTTTTTCCCCTATTTATTTATTTATTTATTTATTTCAGAGGTAGAGTTACAGATAGTGAGAGGGAGAGACAGAGAGAAAGGTCTTCTGTCTGTTGGTTCACTCTCCAAATGGGCGCAACGGCTGGAGCTGTGCCGATCCAAAGCTAGGGGCCAGGTGCTTCTTCCTGGTCTCCCATGTGGGTTCAGGGGCCTAAGCACTTGGGCCATCTTCTGCTTTCCCAGGCCTCAGCAGAGAGCTGGATTGGAAGTGGAGCAGGGGGGACTAGAACCGGCGCCCATATGGGATGCGGATGCTTCAGGCCAGGGCTTTAGCCTACTGCGCCACAGTGCCGGCCCCTCCTCCTTTCTCTTCCTTCTTTCTTTCCTTTCCTTCCTCCTTTCCTTTCCTTCCTTCTTTCTCCTCCCTCTCTCCCTCTCTCCTTCCCTCCCTTCTCTTAATTGAAAGGCAGAGTTACAGAGAGAGAGATCTTCTATCTACTGGTTCACTCCCCAAATGGCCACAACAGCCCAGTACTGGGCCAGGTTGAAACCAGGAGCCCGGAACTCCATCTGGGTCTCCCACATGGGTGGCGGGGTCCCAAACATTTAGGCCATCTTTCACTGCTTTCCCGGGTCATTAGCAGGGAACTGGATCAGAAGTGGAGAAGGGGCCCGCACTGTGGCGTACCAGGTAAAGCTGCCGCCTGTAGTGCCAGCATCTCATATGGATGTCAGTTCGAGGTCCAGCTGCTCCACTTCCGATCCAGCTCTCTGCTATGGCCTGGGAAAGCAGTAGAGGATGACCCAAGTCCTTGGGCCCCTACACCCGCGTGGGAGCTTTAAGAAGTGAAGCAGCTGGGACTCAAACTGACGTTCATCTGAGATTCGGCTCATATGGGATGTCATGGGCAGTGGCTTGACCTGCTGCACCAGGATGCTCTCCCTTGTTTCCCCCATTTTAATAATAATGAGTTTATCTCATTGGTTGGAATGACTAGAATATACCCTTTTCCTTTTTTCAGGCCAGATAATGCAGTACCAGGGGACGTGCTGGTGTTGACGAAACCCCTGGGGACACAAGTTGCTGTCGCCGTGCACCAGTGGCTGGATATTGTGAGTGAATCTTTGCTTGTGATGGGGGAGCCTGTGAAGTTTTTGGGATTGTGGTAATTTCTGTCAGAGGGTTTTGAAAATGAGGGTCTTTTGTTTTACTCCCAGGGAATTTACTATCAGTCAAGGCCTCTTTAAGATCCTCAGAATTGCCTATATTTTTATAAGTGTTTCCTGTTTTGAATCCTTGAAGTAGGTGCAGCCCAGACTGGGGCTTCCAAGATTTCCTCCCAGGATTTGAGATTTGGGCATTAGCTGCGTCTGCTTCTTTGATGCAGAGGCAGCTTCGTCTTTCACGTGTTAAACATCCCTAAAGTAATATGGAGGAGGATTTGTGGAAAGTGAGATGTTTAGGGTATAAATAAGGCCAGCATTATTGACAAGTAATTTTAGTTCTGGAGTTAGAAGGTTATTTTCTGTGGTACATTTGTCTTTTTAAACTGGTTAGTAACTCAACATTGAAATAAACATTAAAATAAATAAATTTCACGTGCAGAATAAATCTAGCCTAGGATATTTCTCCCGAGTCATTTTTTCCAGTGAGCTATAATCATACCGCAAAATTTTTTTTCATTGCTGTACAGTAACAAGTCAAATTAATAAGATTGTGATATGTTCTCACATATCTTGTGTTTAATTTCTGCAACTATCAACTGAAACTACCAGTAGTCCTGAGAAACTGTTGAAAAAGAGTAATAAATAATTTTTTGTTGTCTGTTGCCTGGGTATGTCTTAGCTCGATATGGCAGAGTAGAGAAATTCTCTGAAGCTGCCATCCACATTCTCCCTCCTGAGCCAGTGAAGCCAGAATAGTTGTTCCTTCCAGGAGAGCGACGGTGATGGCTGAGGGGCGGAGGGCTAAGATGAAGGCAGGCGTGAGTCGGGGCCGGGAAGCCAGCACCACGATGCTAGGTGTTTTGAAAGTTTTGTCCCTTCTGTGATGTTCTTTTGCGTCACCCAGGGCCGCCCTCCGTGCACGTGCAGTAGGAGCTGCTTTCATTTTGTCCATTGAGACAACTTAACTCCCAAATTCAGTGCACATGTAACACGGAAAATGAAAGCCGTCAGTTTAATGAAGGAGAACCAGGGAACCTCAAAGCTTGCTAATCACGAGGGAAAGAGGAGCGAGTTGCAGCTGGTGTCTCAGGCGACTTTGTTGCTGGCACCTCACAGTATTTAATTTTCTGTACACAGTAAGATCCATAAAACACCCAGCATAGATGACTCAGAGAAGCTGTTCTTTGTCAGAGTTTCAGAGATTCATCACATCTCCCCTTCTTGTCTTCCTCACCTCTGCTGGTATGTGTAGCCTGAAAAATGGAATAAAATTAAACTAGTGGTCACCCAAGAAGACGTGGAGCTGGCATACCAGGAGGCGATGATGAATATGGCCAGACTCAACAGAACAGGTATGAGTGGGGCCCTCGTGGGCCGCCATGGTGAACACTTGAGGCTTGTCTGCCATGTGTTTTCTCAGGTGCATACATACAGAGTACACTTTTCTCTTTAAACACGTAAAGAGAAAATCTTAGCTGCCAACCAGCCATGGGCCAGACTTGGCCAGTGACTGTAGACCTTCTGCACCTGGTCGCTGCTTGTGGTTCTGTGGCCCTCTGGCGGGAATCCAAACACATGGTGCATTCTCAGTCGAAATGGTCGTGTGTCATGTGAATTGTTGGAGAAAAGCTCGCCAAGGGAAGTGCTTGATGCAGCTCAGGGTCCTTACTGGCACTCAGGTGCACGTGGGACAGACAAGAAGGAAGCCCTTCTCGTGCGTCTCCTGAAGTCCTAACCTCTGGAGGCCAGAGCAACTGTTTGTGGAAAGCACTGGTGGGGCTGCTCCAGGTAAATGATTTGGAAGCAGACCAGCATTTAGGATGGAAATTGAGATGATTTCTCTTCTGGAAATCATAGTTTTCCTTCTTATTAACTGCATGCTCTACCAGGGGACTTGAAAAGGTTTGTGGAAACATGGAAGTAAAAGATAACGTACATTGTCCAAGAACAGGGTGTGGGGGGTATGGCATCCTTTGTAGGAACTTTGAAGAAATGTGAAGGAAGAGGAGGAGGAATAGGATGGAGAGTATCACTGTGCTCCTAAATCTGTACATATGAAATATGGGAAATTTGTTCACTTTACATAAATAAAAAAATTATTGAAAAACAACAATGAAATTTTAAAAAATCTTGTCCCTTCAAGAAAAGAAAACATTTCCTCAGTTGACTTCTTGAAATAATTCTGATTTTAAAGTTACTTTAGAAATGTAAAAGGTTTCTTTCAACATCTGCCTTTCCCCCTTACTAAAAACTTCTAATAGATACTGAATAGATACAAAGTCATCTTATCAAACAAGTGCAGTGGTTAAGGCATGACAGTGCAACACTGAGGGCCAACTGTTGTGTGTTATCAACAGGACCTGGAGTCAGAAGCTCAGAGATGCTGCCCACTCCCAATCCATCTCTTGCATCCTTGCTTATTGTTACCTGCTAAATTTTGTGTTTATTCTCTTTTACTTAAAAATATACTTAGTAGGCCGGTGCCGCGGCTCACTAGGCTAATCCTCCTCCTGCGGCGCCGGTACCCCGGGTTCTAGTCCCGGTTGGGGTGCTGGATTCTGTCCCGGTTGCCCCTCTTCCAGTCCAGCTCTTTGCTATGGCCCGGGAAGGTAGTGGAGGATGGCCCAGGTCCTTGGGCCCTGCACCCACATGGAGACCAGGAGGAAGTACCTGGCTCCTGGCTTCGGATCAGCACGGTGCACCGGCCGGAGTGACCATTTGGGAGGTGAACCAATGGAAGACCTTTCTCTCTGTCTCTCTCTCACTGTCTAATTCTGCCTGTCAAAAAAAAAAAAAAAAAGTGCTTAGCAGTGGTAAGACATTGAACCTAGCAGGGTGCCTGGGTTTGTTGCCAGACTCCATCTCCTAACTCCCGCTTCCTACAGACCCTGGGAGACAGCAGTTCATGACTCAAATCATTGGGTCCTTGCCAAGCATGTGGGAGACCTGGATTGAGTTCCTGTCTCTCAGCTTCTCCTGAGCCCAGTCCCAGCCATTGTAGACATTTGAGGAATGACCCAGCAGATCAGGTCTGCTTGCTCTCTGTGTATCAAAAAACCACACACACATATATACACACACACACACACACAAAATAGTGTATAGATTTGTGTCCTTAAATAGTAAATTAGTTCCGCATTTTTTATATTTCATCCACCATCTAATATTCCCTGTTGTGTGTAGCTATAGTTCACTCATTTTCACCACTGTATAATTTTTTACTGTATGACTGACATATGAACATTTGGGTTACTGCTGTGAATTCGCTTGGCCAGGCCTTATGATACACATGCAAAAGGTCAGCCTTTCTAAAGGTGGTGCCAGGTTGTTTTCCAAAGAGTTGTACAGCACAGTATACCATGGTGCACTGCATCTTAAGAACTTTTTAATGTGTCTTATCATCTCTCTTTTATTTTGATTCTACAGTCGCTATAAAAGAATTATATGGTAGGGCCAGCATTGTGGCAGAATGGGTTAAGCCACCACCCTCAGTACCGGCATCCCATTGGACATTGGTTCAAGATCTGGCTGCTCCACTTCCAGTCATTCTCACTGCTAATGTACCTGAGAAAGCAGTAGAAGATGGCCCAAGTCCCTGGGCTTCTGCGTTCATGTGGGAGACCTGGCGGAAGCTCCTGGCTCCTGGTTTTGGCCTGGCCCAAAACTAGTCCTGGCTGATGCCATCATTTGGAGAGTGAACCAGCAGATGGAAGATCTCTCTCCCTTTCCCTCTCTGTATAGGTCTTTCAAATAAGTAAATATTTAAAAAAACAATCTTTAAAAAAATATTATATACTGATCATAGAGAAGGTTTTAGAAATTGGGAGAGAAAGTTTTCCATAGTCCCACCTTCCAAAAATAATTTTTTTATTCAAAAGACAAAGATCATCTCCCATCCATTGGTTCACTCTCAGATACCCACAACAGCTGGGACTGGGCCAGACAAAGCTGGGTGCCTGGAACACATTGCTTGAGCCATCACCTGCTGCCTCCTAGGGTGTGCATTAGCAGGAAGCTGGAATTGGAAGTGGAGCTGGAACTCAGATGCAGGCACTGTGAAATGGGACTGCATGTGTCCCAAGCAGTGTCTTTTTTTTTTTTTTTTTGACAGGCAAAGTAGACAGAGAGAAAGGTCTTCCTTTTCCATTGATTCACCGCCCCCAATGGCCACTACGGCCGGTGCACCGTGCTGATCCGAAGCCAGGAGCCAGGTGCTTCTCCTGGTCTCCCATGCGGGTGCAGGGCCCAAGCACTTGGGCCATCCTCCACTGTACTCCCGGGCCAAGCAGAGAGCTGGACTAGAAGAGGAGCAGCTGAGACAGAGTCCGGCGCTCCAACTGGGACTAGAACCCGGTGTGCCAGCACTGCAGGTGGAGGATTAGCCAATAGAGCCATGGCGCTGGCCCCAAGCAGTGTCTTAATTGCTGTGCTGAGTGCCTGCCCGAAATGTGCATTTGATTTAATGTTTTTATTACTCTTTCAAAACTCTTGCAGCTTCCTGCGAGTGCACATCCTGGGAGGGTGAAGTGGTTGGGCCCCTGCCACTCTCATGGGAAACCTGGTTTGGTTTGAATGCCTGGCCGTGGCCTAGCCCCAGCCCCAACCATTCTGGGAGTGAACCCGTAGGTGGTAGCTTGCTCTCTTTCTTTCTCTCTGAAATAAAAAAGGGAGGAGGGGGAAGGGTAGGGGAGAAAGACTAACAGACTCCTCATTGAAGTTTTACTGATGGCAAATTACCATGAGATGTTCCGCATTGTATGTCATCAGGGAAATGCAAATTAAAACAGCGAGATACTACTATGTTTAGAGTGACTAAAATCCAAAACACTGACAACACCAAATGCTGGCAAATAGGTGGAGCAATAGGAATTCCCAGTCTTGCTGGTGGGAGTACAGAATGCTTCGGCCACTTTGGAGAGCAGTTTCGCCTTAGAACACTAAGTATTACTGTTTGAGTCAGCAGTTGTACTCCCATAGGAGTTGCAAACTGTGTCCACATGAAAACCTGCTTATTCATAATTACCAAAACCTGGAAGCAACCAAGATGTCCTTTAGTCACGAATAGACAAGCCAGCAGTCACATGTGTGCTATGGAGTATTACTCAGTAGGAAAAAGAAAAGAATTATCTAGCCATGAAAGGGCAAGAGGGGAACTTAAATCCATGTTAGTAAGTGAAAGAAGCCAATCTGAAAAGGCCACTTGCAGTATGATTCCTACTGTGTGACAGTCTTGAAAAGACAACTATAGGGACAGTGAAAAGATCCAGGGAGTGGTGGAGGGATTTTGGGGCCAGTGAGATTATTCCGTATGATACTATGCTGTTAGATACATGTCATTGTAGATTGGCGAGTAGCCAGACACTGTCCAGTGACACTGACACACAAGTGAACCTTAGTGTAAAGGATGGGCTTGCACTGTAGTGTGCTAGTGGGAACTGCAGACACCACGCTGACGCCAGTTGTTGGCACGGGAAGCTAATGGCAACTCTGCTCTCTACCCACTTTCAACCGAAATGTGCTCCCCTAAAAATAAAGCTTTTTTATAGGCATTTATACAGATGTTGGTCCTCGAGTTGCAGGCCAGAGGTCTGCAAAATCAAGCCTATTCAGTATTTTATATGAAAAACTGAAAAGGAAACAAGCTTCTAGGCAATTCACCTTTAGGGAGAGTACCTTGAAAAAAAATTTTTTTTTTTTTAATTTGAGAAGTGGAGTTACAGACAGAGGGAGAGGCAGAAAGAAAGGTCTTCCATCTGCTGGTTCACTTCCCAAATGGCCACAATAGCTGGGGCGAGGCCTTTCCGAAGCCAGGAGCTTATTCCATGTCTCCCATGTGGGTGCAGGAGCCCAAGGACTTGGACCATCTTCCACTGCTTTCCAAGCCATAGAAGAGAGCTGGATTGGAAGTGGAGCAGCTGGGAAATGAACTGGGATGAGGCACTGCAGGTGGAGGCTTAGCCCACTACATCACAGCTCCGACCTGCCGGGCATTACAAAAGTCCCACTCTTGGATTTTAGGATGCTTTTGGCAGGTTTGCCTTCCACCAAGATGATAATTCCTGTTAGAGGTTTTTGGGTTTACTACAGTATCACTTCATCGCACTTTGATTGCAGCTGCTAATGGGTTCCAAGAGGTTCAGATTGTAGTAAGTCAGTTTGAGAGTTTTGCTGCGGTTTTTGGTTGACTTTATAATACTGCATTTTTGCTACTCATGTGGCATCTCCCTGAGGAAGGAAGAGTTTTCTGATCAGTAGCAGGATTCTGAGTTAAGGGCAGATGTGTTTTCTCAGTCACCTCTCTGCACACTCTCAGCTGCAGGACTGATGCACACGTTCAACGCACATGCGGCCACTGACATTACAGGCTTCGGGATCCTGGGCCACGCACAGAACCTAGCCAAGCAGCAGAGGAACGAGGTGTCGTTTGTGATCCACAACCTTCCTGTGCTGGCCAAGATGGCTGCTGTGAGCAAGGCCTGTGGAAACATGTTTGGCCTCATGCATGGGACCTGCCCGGAAACATCAGGTACAAGGGTGTGGGTCCAGTCTGTGCATGTGACCCCACTTTGAGGTCAGTCCCCTGTGGCCGTGGCAGCCTCCTGCTGTGTATGGGCTTCCAGGCCCAGCAGCCTGTGTGTGACTGAGCTGCTTCATTGGGACTGTCCTGTGTTCTTTTTGACATCAGAATCTGGTGATGGATGGGAGAGGGCGAATATTTGGAGGAATGATGGTCTGGACTAGAACTTAGGTATGTGGCAGCATATACTCTTTCATGAGTCTTAGATTTTAAAAAACGCCAGAGCACATTCGTGGTTAAGATGAGGGATCCTCTTGTTTGTATGGACTTCAGTGTAGCTCCCATTCCGGAGCCCTAACCACCTTTCTCCTATGTAGCTTTAATCGTTCACAGATTGATTGTTTTCGCCATTTTGAGGTTTTGTTGTAGAAGTGTTTATTTAATAAAGTGGAGCTGACTGAGAACTTGCTGAACCGCTGTTCAGGATAGACCAGGCATCTGAGTTGAACAGAAGGTGCAGGTTGCTGCAGGCCCAGTGAGGTGTTGGTCTGGGTGGAAGTGTCTGTAGACACACAGAGGTGGAGAAGCTGCTCTTGTAGTGTCACAACTAATGGTCCCTCTTTATTCCTTTGCCAGGAGGCCTCCTAATCTGTTTACCACGTGAGCAAGCAGCTCGGTTCTGTGCAGAGATAAAGTCCCCCAAATATGGTGAAGGTCACCAAGCATGGATTATTGGGATTGTAGAGAAGGGCAACCGTACCGCCAGGATCATAGACAAGCCCCGGATCATCGAAGTTGCGCCGCAAGTGGCCACTCAAAACGTGAACCCCACACCCGGTGCCACTTCTTAATTTAGACAGCAGTAGCTACTCGGTTTTGTTTTTAAATAGATCTATTTCCTTTCTCATCACTTCAATTAAAGACTATAAGCAACAACAAAAATCTCATTGTGTCTACACATCTGGTGACCTGAGGTCGATTTGTGAGTGGATACAATTAATAAAATAAAATCCATGGCCTTTTTTTCCTGTTACATTAACTGAAGATGCACCTACTCTTGAGGCAGCTTCTGAGTTGAGAATTATATTGTTATCCAATACTGTTGATTCATTTTGAATCTTTAGACACTTATCTCTCGCCGCATAGGCTCTTTCTAAAGGTGCTTTCACACAGCACAGACGTTACCAGTAGTGGTGTCAGGTAGCAGTTCTTGTCTTTTCATTTGATGTGTATTTATCATATAAGCCTGATCTTTTTTCAAGCATCTTGAATGGCGTCTGGAAAGATGGAATTGGTAAGTGAGAATGACGGCTTCTGAGCTGCAGGAGGGTTGCATGGTTCCTTTGAGTCTTATCATCCTAGAGCATGTCTTTGGCCCAGGACATTCTCCAATAGTGCATTCAGTTCCACAAGTCGAGTGCTTCACTCTGCATGGAAAGCACTTAGAAGACAAAAAAAGAAATTTTATTTCTTTTTTTTTTTGTAGCGTTCCTGATATTTACAGTAGCATCATTAACTGTTTTCTTTGTTGACAGCAAAAAAGGATACTTTTTGCAATGTAATTAGTTGTTCTATAGAGCAATGAGGAATTGCCTTCCCGAAGAGGGTTCGTGTATAATACTCATTTACAATTCAATATATAATTACGCAAATAATTTTTAAATAGAATCAGTAATAAAGACTGTTGTGTGGATGGTAGTGTTTAATACATTTTATATTTTGTATAGTGATTGCCAGTCTTTTGTTAAAATCAGCAGCTATTTAGCCTAATTCTTAGCATTATTTTGCCCTTGGCACCAGTCCTTTTTTTTGTGCACGCTTTTTGTGATCTGTGTTAAAAATCAACATTGCTAACATTACAGCTTGAACTTAAACTTGTTATTCAAATAAATATTTAATTTTTTTAATTGCTCTTGTATAATCAGATGCCCCTTTTACTATTATTTTAGAAGCATCGGGAGGGTTTTGCCTAAAGTACAATTTATGGGGGAAAACTAGATTTTAGTTTTATAAAACTTTTAAGTCTTTCACGGGACCTATATTTTCTTGAATTGAATTTTGTAGTTCTAGAAACAATAGGGTATCTAAATGGGTGTTGACTGTCTGGCTTAAAATCAGAGGCTTCCTTATATTTTCACCCAGTAAACAAGCAGGGGGGACTACTGTGGGGTGAACCGTGGGCGAAGCGTGGGGCACCGAGCCCCTGAGTGTCTGTCGGAGAAAGCGCCGCGTCTCTCCCAGGGCCTGAACACTTCCTGCTCCGGGCACCAGAGCTGCACTTGCACACCCATCCACTTGTTGCCCAAGGCTCCGTCACCGGGAAGGGGAGGCTCCCTGGAAGAGGTGTTACCTGGACGAGCCCTCCCGTGGGAACCGAGGCAGCCCCTCTGCACCAGCGCCTGGACTGCAGCCCTGTGTGGCGGCTGGTGTGTGAGAGGCTGCTGCAGAACTGAAGCTAACAGGATGTTTCACAGGCATTTATACAGACGTTGGTCCTTGAGCCGCAGGCCAGTGGTCTGCAAAATAAAGTGTGCTGGAAACCTCTGAGTAAGCAAGCGTCATGTTGAGCTTTCTTTGTTAATGGGTCGCTGAGTCTGAACTTCTTGAGTTACAGTGTTTGGGTGGAGGGCCTGTTGAGGGGGTGAGCTCAGTGGATTCTGCACTTGAGGGATGAAGATTTACATTTAGAGAGAGCACTGTTGGCTACTCAGCGGGCTGTGTGGCTCATGGGGCCCCAGGAGGAAGAACTGATCTTTAAGGTGGTCCTTCCCGGTGAGCCCAGATGCGCGGGTGTTAGAATGACCTGGGGTGTTTGTCCAAAGGCACACTCCTGGCTGCATCCCAGGCCAGAGAGCATTGCTGAGGGGGTTGGGACCACAGAGTCTCTGCCCACTTAAGTCAGAACCACCGATCTCAAGAGGAAATTTACAAAGGGAGGTAAGGAAGAGACAGTGCACTTGGCTTTCCCAAGACATTATTCAGGAATTCTTTTAGATCTTGACCATTCTGTTTGTAGTTCCCACATCTGAGCTGTGGCACTTTAAAACTTCACACTGAGGGGCCGGCGCTGTGGCGCAGCGGGTTAAAGCCCCAGCCTGCAGCGCCAACATCCGATGTGGGCACCAGTTCGAGTCCGGATTGCTCCACTCCTGTCCAGCTCTCTGCTATGGCCTGGGACAATAGAAGATGGCCCAAGTCCTTGGGCCCCTGCACCCATGTGGGAGGCCCAAAGAAGCTGCTGGCTCCTGGCTTCGGAAAGGCCCAGCTCCAGCGATTGTGGACATTTGGGGAATGAACCATCTGATGGAAGACCTCTCTCTATCTCTGCCTCTCCTCTCTGTGTAACTCTGACTTTCAAATAAATGTCTTTAAATTAAAAAAAAAATTCACACTGAAGTATGTTCATCTTGGTATGCTAATTTGTTTTCTGTAAAGTCTAGGAAACAGTTGCATCCAAAATCATAGAGTTAGAATGCACGGAATTGCACAGAATCAGTACATACAACCAGAGGAGGCTGGATCCTGTGGGGTCATGACTTGGGAAGGAATAGTAGAGCTTAGCCAGTTCTTTGCACAAGCTGTGTTGAGGCACTCAGTACAAGGCAAGTCAAAATATTGCTTAAGCAGTACTTACCTACACAGTACCTTGTCTTTTTGGCTCAGTATCTTGGATTAACTTAGTTTATTGTAGTCCTCCAAGTCGTGTGCCTTAGGGTGAATAAATGCCAGTGTTTTGCATTGTTCTGATGTGTCAGTCAACTGCTTTCAAGCTCAAGTGAGCACCTTTACAAGAGTTAGACCCAAGTCCCCCCTCTAACTGTGGAGACCGGAATAGCTACATCATTCTTTATTAAAGCAACACTTTTTATTTTTTAAATTAATTTATTATTTGAAAGTGTTACCGAGAAGGAGAGGGAGAGAAAGATCTTCCATCTACTGGTTCACTCTCCAGATGGCCACAATGGCCAGGGCTGGGCCTGGTTGAATCCAGGAGCTTCTGGATCTCCCACATAGTTGCAGGGGTCCAAGCACTTGGGCCATCTGCTTTCCCAGGCGCATCAGCAGGGAGCTGGATTGGAAGAGCAGCTGGAAATCGAACCACAGCCAATATGTGGTGTGGATGCCACAGGTTACACGATACACCACTGCGCCAGCCCTCTGTGAGGTTTGTTTAAGTATCTTGTATATGTGTGTGTCCTTGAGCTGCTTTCTGCAGCCACCCCACCCCTTCTCTCTAGCTTAGGAAATAGTTGCATAAAAACAATTTGAACAGTAATTTGTATTTTGACTCATTAAAAATCCACGTGAGGGGAGTGGGTGTTCGGTGCAGTGGTGAAGCCGCCACTGCAGACACCACATCCCATATTGGAGTCCCGGCTCCATTTCTCATCCAGCTCCTGCAGCCTGAGAAGGAAGCAAAGGATAGCTCAGGTACTTCCGTCCCAGGTGAAGTTCATGGTGCAGGACTTTGGCCTAGTCCTGGCTGTTAAACAGGCATTGTGGAGTGAAACAGTGGGTGGAAGGTCTCTCTTTCAAATAAAATGCAAATACTTTTTTAAAAGCAATCCACAGGAGGGAGCAGGTATTTGGCCTAATGGTGACAATGATAATGCCCATGTCCCATATCAAAGTGCCTGGGTTCAGCTCCCAGCTCCTGACTCCATCTTCCTGCTAATGCAGACCCTGGGAAGGTGGTGGTGGTGGCTCAAGTAATTAGGTTCCTGCCACCCATGTGGGAGGAGCCAAGCCCCTGGCTCCAGCCCCAGCCATTGCAGACTCAGGGAGTGAACAAGCAGATGGGAGTACTCTGCCTCACTGCCCCTCAAATAATTAAACAATAAAATGAACTCTGATTCTTTTTTTTTTGACAGGCAGAGTGGACAGTGAGAGAGAGAAAGGTCTTCCTTTTGCTGTTGGTTCACTCTCCAATGGCCGCTGCGGCTGGCGCACCGCGCTGATCCAATGGCAGGAGCCAGGTACTTATCCTGGTCTCCCATGGGGTGCAGGGCCCAAGCACCTGGGCCATCCTCCACTGCACTCCCTGGCCACAGCAGAGAGCTGGCCTGGAGGAGGGGCAACCGGGACTAGAACCCAGTGTGCCGGCACCGCAAGGCGGAGGATTAGCCTAGTGAGCCACGGCACCAGCCTGAACTCTGATTCAAGTACTGGCTGCTCTGTTTCCAATTCAACTCCCTGCCAGTGTGCCTGGGAAAGCAGCCTAAGATGGCCCAAGTGTTTGGGCCCCTGACCCAATGGGAGACTTGGATTGTAGTTCCTGTTTCATTGCAGCTATTTGAGAAGTGACCAGTGGATGGAGGATCTCTGTGTCACTCTACCTTTCAAATAAATAAATAAAAGTCTTTTAAAAAAAGAATCCTTATGAATTATGCAGGTACTAAACATGGCAGGAATCACAACAAAAATCCAAATTCTGTTGAGAACATGGGGAGTGTTAGATCCTCTCTGTTTAAATCTATCATTTGACGTGAGGATGGGAGTGGGTGGATTAGACAGGCCTTCCTTTAATGTGAATTAGCTGGTAAGAAAGGACGGTGCTGGGTGTCCAGATGTGTTCAAGCATCGCTGGCATCCAGGCTTGCTGTAGGTGGTGAGGGCAGGGGAGGCAGGGCTCGGAGCTGCTCTCTAGGCCCCCTGTGTGGTCCAGTTCCTGAAATGCTCATTGGTTGCATTTTGCCACATTCGTTCTCTCCATGTAGAACACATGTGCCTGGGCAGAGCCAGTTGTGGGAGTCAGGTGCAGACAGCAGGACCCTCTGGTAATCCGATTGTCTTGCACCCAGCCACATGTTTTCAAGGCAGTTTTTAAGGTTTTTGGGGAAGCATACCAGAGAGTTTCTGGAGTATAAGAGAATTCACACGAGCACAGCTAAGAAGCACTGGAGGGGGGCTGGAACCTACAAAAACCGCACATGCTGTAGATACTGCTGGGCAACTTGCTGCTGTTCACTCACATGCTGGACCTGACAGCCTGGCTGTTTAGTGAGAGAAAGGGCCCCATTCATTTCAGCCTGGTCACCCCGTTGTCTGGGCTGTAGGGTACTCCCGTCACTGAGATGCAGAGTGAACATGCTTCTGCCTGCTCCGTAAGATGTCTCAGTTCCCTCACCTGGCGTTTTGTTGAACACTAATCGTTGAGATGTTGAAAACCTGCAGCTTGTACTGCCTTGCCCCAGCTATCAGATCTGAGGATTATTAGATAGTAGCTCTCTCCTTAGCCCTCTGTGCCTTAAGCACCAAGTGTTCAAGGACTATTACTGTTTGCTTTCTAATCTGCAGTGTTTTAATGGAAATGTGAATTATTAAAAAAAAAATAAAAGCCAGAAGACTTGAGTAACAAAGCTATTGAGCTGTCACTAATTTTTTCTCACCACAGACAAGGAAATTCTCCAAAGTCCCCATCTCACCTGTTAAGAACAGGAAAGTGATGGAAATGCAAAAGAAACATCCATCCTTGAATCCCTAGAACCACTGCTTCTCAGAAGGTAAGGGGTGAGCAATGCGGGTGAGAACAGAGGCCTGCGTTCCTTTTCCATCACTGGGGTAGCCTGTTCCTACACAGTAGGGTGGCTTCAAACCACGCTAGTTGTTGTGTTACAGTTCTGTAGACTGTTCAACTAGGACCTGGGTGGAAGTCACGTAGGAGCAGGCATCCAAGGGGATAGCCTTGCCTTTCCCTTTCCAGCTTCCAGAGTGTGCCTGGGTTCCTTTCCTTTGGCCCCTTCCATCCTCAAAACCAACATTGTTAGCATCTCTGGCCCGCTTTCCATCAACATTATGGACTCTTGATGACATTGGGTCCACTCAGAGAATCCAGGTTCATCTCCCCGTATCAAGTCCTTACCCTTGTTTTCTGGGTACCAGGACACGGGCATATCTGGAGGGACCTAACACCCATGGGGAGCTCCAGCAAGGCAGAGATTTTTGCAGCTACGAAACAAAGCTCTTGGCTTAAACCCAGCACTGAAAATGTGCTTATGTAACCATTCCAAGTAGGGGCTAGCAGGCAGGAAGCTCTCTGTGCCACCAGCTGCCAAGCCTGTGTGCAGACCAATGGGCCACCAGGCAGGGTGTGCACAATCGACTTTCGCACGGTACAAGGATCACCTGGCAGTTGGTGACTGATACTTGAGAAGCATCACATGTTCTAAGGGTCTGCCTCTGCTGGTTTAGAGTGTCTCTGATGCACAGTCAGACTTCCAGAGTCTGTCTGCCTGTTTGTCTCTCTCTCTCTCTCCACACACACACCCTTTAACTTGATTCTTGGTTTCCAGAGGGCTGGGCACTCGCTGTAATATCTTGAATTCCATCAGGGGCCACCCATGCCTTGACTTCCCTTTCAGTAATGCCCTCAGAGGCCACAGGTGTAAGGTGGCAACATCACAAAATGAACCTGTGTATCCTTGAATCACTGCTTGAGCAAGAGGCACTGAGCAGTCAACTTTTATTGTGTTGGGCCATTAAGATTCCAAAGTTTGCCTGTTCTTACAACAGAGCTTAACCTGCTCTGACTAACAGAAATAAACAAGCCAT